AATTATCGTAATCTTGTACAAATTGGCAACATGGAGCACCCCCATATTTCATAGTTTTTCTGTGCCTTGTATCTACACAATCTGTTTAAATCAGTACTGTATTAAGTTTAGGTATTACTCAAGTTACAAGTCTAAGATGCAACCACAATGCAACTTGAGAGTATCATTACACTAGTTGTCTTAGCCTATTTACCTGTGTACATTGCCTATTTACAACAATAATTTACTTCTTGGAACCGTATGTAAATTTTCTTTCATGCTCTCTACGGTCTCTTTATCGAGATAAGATAAAGAAATGATGAGGACGAAGCCAAATAAATTAAGAAATTGGATTAGCTGATATTGTAGCTAATTGATGCAATGCATTATTTTATTAACACATTTGCTTGTAAGCATCAACTTCGGGTAATATAGGGACAGGGAGTTATCTGGGAAAGCGCCAAGTCATTACGACTATATAGCACTGGGAAGGGGTCAGGATAAGGAATAGGGATGGGACGGGAAGGGGGGGAGGGGGGGGGGAGAATGGTGTCCAAACACATGGACGGCCGGAGATTGAACGCCGACCTGCATGAAGCGAGACCGTCGCTCTACCGTCCATTCGGGCGATATGTTGACCAAACCCCACACTACAAAGTGAAGGGACGACGACATTTTCGGTCCGTCCTGGACCATTTTCAAGTCGATTGTGTGACTTGAGAATCAGAGAGTTATCAGGTGGCACAAGTCAATTCACTTTCTAGTGTGTGGTTTGGTCAACATATGACTGCCACGCTATTGTGACTCCTCGTCTGCATTCGGGTGATATAATATTCACACATCTTGTAGACACTGGGGTGCCGGTACGCGGGAATCTGGTGTGCTGTGTTTGGCAGCTCTCGGGGCGGTTCTCACCTGTGTATAGAGATGAGCTGATCTTACCTGGCACAGGCCGTGGGAGCAGGCTCACACCAGCGTGTGTACACCTCGAGCAGCTGTGGGGAAGCCCCACAGGGCTGCCTTGAGAGGTAACTTAGCCTGAGTGCTGTGGGTTCGTATCCCACTAGTGTCCAACCTCTCAGACACGACAATATAGGAAGGCACTGATATCTTTTATTGTGGCCACAGCGTTTTCTGTTTTTTTAGCTAGCATCGTGGACGGTTGCTTAGGAGATAAATCTCACTCTCCTCAGAAGTCAGTTATCTGATGCGAAGCTCATATTTATTTTTCAAGTTGATGTGTGTTCCCGGCGGAGTCATTAGCCTGGAGGCAGTTATCAGGTGGCACTCAGCCAGAGAGGCAAAGACCCAGATGCCAATCCAGCTGTCACGCTTGTGTCAGGCATGAGAAGAGCAAGGGCGGCCGTGTTGTGACAAGTGACAACTGTCATTGTGCACGTCCAGGAAGACGCTGATTGACAGATGATGCTAAGGCAGCGGCCGCCGCCCGACCTGCGTTGACCTCCTCCTGCGTGTGGCTGGCTATGGACCCCACACTCACCCCTCACTATCGCAGATTTGTGTGAAACGTGTCCCCTAAAAGTAGCGGGTTAGGTTTGGCATTGTTAGCGAGGCGTCGCAGGAGCTAAACATGGGCCAGGGCCCAGGCGGGCCAGCCAGGCTGCCACGCTAAAATTATACCAGAGCGGAGCCCGGCAGGCAGCGCTGGGTTCACCAGCATCACCAGCCAGTGTGCACCAACCCAGGCCAACCACATCACCAGGCCGACGTAACCTCCGCCCCACCAGGGATCACCATCCTGCAGCCTGACGTCACTCCCCCTGGCCTCTATGGCCGCCCGCACGCCCCCCGACGCCCACCACCACACGTGAACAAGGTGGTAGTCGCTGCCGCCGCCCGCGCTGCGCCGCCCTCCACTATTATCACACACACCTTGCTGGAGATTAATAACCGGGTAAACACCACGGGCAGGTGCGGAAGGCTTGCCTCGGACTGCCAAAGTGTGGGGGTCACACCCCCCCCCCCCACCCCTAGGCCACCCGAACACGGGAGGGGGGACTGGCCGACGTAGCCCACACCGACCTGGCTACAGTCGTCGGCGATCTGTGACTTCGTTACCCGACCCGTCCAGCTTCCTCACGTGTGAACGCGTTCGGCCACATCCAGAAAACAGTGATTGTGCATTTCAGTGAATTTTCCGGATCAGTGGTGTTTGTGATAGATGTAATACACTGCAGGGGTTGAGGGTTAGGGAGGGGGGGGTTGCGGGTGTGTAGTGGTGTAGGATGCCGGGGCCCGACAGCAGGTGTGTGACTGTTGCAGTGGTGTTGACCTGTAGAGGGAACGAAGAGTTTGCGACAGCGTGCGGCTAGCAGGGCCTCGTGTGTGTGTGTGTGTGTGTGTGTGTGTGTGTGTGTGTGTGTGTGTGTGTGTGTGTGTGTGTGTGTGTGCGGTGAACAGTGACACCCGCCACACGGGGACCTTCCTGGGGGCCCTACAGTGTGACGCTGGTGGGGAGCGTCCTCCCCGCCTCTGTCAGTGTTTGCCGTAGGAGCCATGACGGTCTCCTATCAGTATGACGTCGCCTCCTCCACCTCCGGCGGCTTCACCCGCCTCCTCTTCAAGTGGAAGGGTTCCCTGTATAAGCTCATATACCGAGAGCTGTTCCTCTTCTGCCTGGGATACGCCTGCATGAGCTGCATCTACAGGTTCGTCTTCACTGAGCCGCAGAAGAGGTAAAGTACCCCGGGTGCTGTGCATGGCTATAGCCTGTCTTGTGGCCCCTTCCAGTCTTCATAGCCAGCCACCTGTAAGCCTGACCTCGCAAAAATCAACGGAACATCCCTTACTTACGCACACTAGCATCTCCTTTATTATTATTTTTTTTTGCCGTGAATGTTTGTCTTTGCAAACTCTTCTCTCATTACCCTGCCACACAGCTTGCCTTCCTCACTATCTGCAGACCAGCAACACATCTCTCTTATCACGGTGTTTAATGACCCAATTTCGCGGGCTCTACATCATGTGTCACTCTGCTGGCCAGTCCTCAACCTAAGCACCTGTTTACCATCTCACACCAACACACACACACACACACACACACACACACACACACACACACACACACACACACACACACAGGGGGTGGGCCTCGTAGCCTGGTGGATAGCACGCAGGATTCGTAATTCTGTGGCGCGGGTTCGATTCCCGCACGAGGCAGAAACAAATGGGCAAAGTTTCTTTCACCCTGAATGCCCCTGTTACCTAGCAGTAAATAGGTACCTGGGAGTTAGTCGGCTGTCACGGGCTGCTTCCTGGGGGTGTGTGTGTGTGTGTGTGGTGAAAAAAAAAAAAAAAAAAAAAAGTAGTTAGTAAACAGTTGATTGACAGTTGAGAGGCGGGCCGAAAGAGCAAAGCTCAACCCCCGTAAAAACACAACTAGTAAACACACAGTGATGTGGTGGAGGCTGACTCCATACACAGTTTCATATGTAAATATGATAGAGCCCAGTAGGCTCAGGAACCTGTACACCAGTTGATTGACAGTTGAGAGGCACAACCAAAGAGCCAGAGCTCAACCCCCGCAAGTACAATTAGGTGAGTAGACACACACACGTGTGTGTGTGTGCGTGTCTGGGGCAGAAGAGGACCCTGTAGTTTCAGAGCGTTATATGACAAAGAGTGCTGGGAAGACGGGACACCACGGGCATAGCTCTCATCCTGTAACTACACTTAGGTAATTACACGCACACACACACAGAACTTTTTTAGTGTCAGTGGTTGACAAATGGAATGCATTAGGCAGTGATGTGGTGGAGGCTGACTCCATACACAGTTTCAAGTGTAGATATGATAGAGCCCAGTAGGCTCAGGAACCTGTACACCAGTTGATTGACAGTTGAGAGGCGGGACCAAAGAACCAGAGCTCAACCTCCGCAAGCACAAATAGGTGAGTACACAGTAAAAAGCCACCCCCCCCCCTCTAAACTGGCATTTCACATGACACCACCGCAAGTGAAGAACAGGTACGAGAAGTCACTTGAGGTCATTATGTCACGGACATCACTCACAGTCATAGCAAGCTTTTGAGAGCATAAAGTCTAAGAGTGTGTACCCAGGCCATCTTAAGGCCAGACAGTTCACAAGCCTTTCTTACCAAGGCCACTTTTGGGACCTGCTTACCAACGACAACTTATCAGACGTCCTCGACAAACACAAGAATTAGACGTAAACCTGAGAGTATATTAGACGTTCTCGATGAAGAATGTGGTGTATTAGTCGCCAGTGGTGTGTGTATTAGTGGTCAGTGGTGTGTGTATTAGTCACCAGTGGTGTATTAGTGACCAGTGGTGTGTGTATTAGTCGCCAGTGGTGTGTGTATTAGTCACCAGTGGTGTGTGTATTAGTCACCAGTGGTGTATTAGTGACCAGTGGTGTGTGTATTAGTCGCCAGTGGTGTGTGTATTAGTCACCAGTGGTGTGTGTATTAGTCGTCAGTGGTGTGTGTATTAGTGGTCAGTGGTGTGTGTATTAGTGGTCAGTGGTGTGTGTATTAGTGCCCAGTGGTGTGTGTGTATTAGTGGCCAGTGGTGTGTGTATTAGTGGTCAGTGGTGTGTGTATTAGTGGCCAGTGGTGTATGTATTAGTGACCAGTGGTGTGTGTATTAGTCGCCAGTGGTGTGTATATTAGTCACCAGTGGTGTGTGTATCAGTCGCTAGTGGTGTATTAGTGACCAGTGGTGTGTGTATTAGTCTCCAGTGGTGTATTAGTGACCAGTGGTGTGTGTATTAGTCGCCAGTGGTGTGTGTATTAGTCGCCAGTGGTGGTTGTATTAGACGCCAGTGGTGTGTGTATTAGTCGCCAATGGTGTATTAGTGACCAGTGGTGTGTGTATTAGTCGCAAGTGGTGTGTGTATTAGTTGCCAGTGGTGTATTAGTCGCCAGTGGTGTGTGTGTATTAGTCGCCAGTGGTGTATTAGTGACCAGTGGTGTGTGTATTAGTCGCCAGTGGTGTGTGTATTAGTCGCCAGTGGTGTATTAGTCGCCAGTGGTGTGTGTATTAGTGACCAATGGTGTGTGTATTAGTGACCACTGGTGTGTGTATTAGTGACCAGTGGTGTGTGTATTAGTGACCAGTGGTGTGTGTATTAGTGACCACTGGTGTGTGTATTAGTGACCAGTGGTGTGTGTCTTAGTCGCCAGTGGTGTGTGTATTAGTGACCAGTGGTGTGTGTATTAGTCGCCAGTGGTGTGTGTATTAGTGGTCAGTGGTGTGTGTATTAGTGACCAGTGGTGTGTGTATTAGTCGCCAGTGGTGTGTGTATTAGTGACCAATGGTGTGTGTATTAGTGACCACTGGTGTGTGTATTAGTGACCAGTGGTGTGTGTATTAGTGATCAGTGGTGTGTGTATTAGTGGTCAGTGGTGTGTGTATTAGTGACCAGTGGTGTGTGTATTAGTCGCCAGTGGTGTGTGTATTAGTGACCAGTGGTGTGTGTATTAGTCGCCACTGGTGTGTGTATTAGTCGCTAGTGGTGTGTGTATTAGTGACCAATGGTGTGTGTATTAGTGACCACTGGTGTGTGTATTAGTGACCAGTGGTGTGTATTAGTGACCAGTGGTGTGTGTATTAGTGGTCAGTGGTGTGTGTATTAGTGACCAGTGGTGTGTGTATTAGTCGCCAGTGGTGTGTGTATTAGTCGCCAGTGGTGTGTGTATTAGTGACCAGTGGTGTGTGTATTAGTCGCCACTGGTGTGTGTATTAGTCGCCACTGGTGTGTGTATTAGTCGCTAGTGGTGTGTGTATTAGTCGCTAGTGGTGTGTGTATTAGTCGCCAGTGGTGTGTATAAGTCGCCAGTGGTGTGTATTAATCGCCAGTGGTGTGTATTAGTCGTCAGTGGTTTGTGTGTATTAGTGATCAGTGGTGTGTATTAGTCGCCGGTGGTGTGTGTATTAGTCGCCAGTGGTGTGTGTATTAGTGGCCAGTGGTGTGTGTATTAGTGGCCAGTGGTGTGTATTAGTGGCCAGTGGTGTGTGTATTAGTGGCCCGTGGTGTGTGTATTAGTGGCCAGTGGTGTGTATTAGTGGCCAGTGGTGTGTGTATTAGTGGCCAGTGTTGTGTGTATTAGTGGCCAGTGGTGTGTGTATTAGTGGCCAGTGGTGTGTGTATTAGTCGCCAGTGGTGTGTGTATTTGTGGCCAGTGGTGTGTGTGTGTATTAGTGGCCAGTGGTGTGTGTATTAGTGGCCAGTGGTGTGTGTATTTGTGGCCAGTGGTGTGTGTGTGTATTAGTGGCCAGTGTTGTGTGTATTAGTGGCCAGTGGTGTGTGTATTAGTGGCCAGTGGTGTGTGTATTAGTCGCCAGTGGTGTGTGTATTAGTGACCAGTGGTGTGTGTGTGTATTAGTGGCCAGTGGTGTGTGTATTAGTGGCCAGTGGTGTGTGTATTAGTGGCCAGTGGTGTGTGTATTAGTGGCCAGTGGTGTGTGTATTTGTAGCCAGTGGTGTGTACTAGTGGCCAGTGGTGTGTGTATTTGTAGCCAGTGGTGTGTACTAGTGGCCAGTGGTGTGTGTATTAGTGGCCAGTGGTGTGTGTATTAGTGGCCAGTGGTGTGTGTATTAGTGGCCAGTGGTGTATTTGTGGCCAGTGGTGTGTGTATTAGTGACCAGTGATGTGTGTATTAGTGGCCAGTGGTGTGTGTGTATTAGTGACCAGTGATGTGTGTATTAGTGGCCAGTGGTGTGTGTGTATTAGTGGCCAGTGGTGTGTGTGTATTAGTGGCCAGTGGTGTGTGTGTATTAGTGGCCAGTGGTGTGTGTGTATTAGTGGCCAGTGGTGTGTGTGTATTAGTGGCCAGTGGTGTATTAGTTGCCAGTGGTGTGTGTATTAGTGGCCAGTGGTGTGTGTGTATTAGTGGCCAGTGGTGTGTGTATTAGTAGCCCGTGGTGTGTGTATTAGTGGCCAGTGGTGTGTGTATTAGTGGCCAGTGGTGTGTGTATTAGTGGCCAGTGGTGTGTGTATTAGTCGTCAGTGGTGTGTGTATTAGTGGCCAGTGGTGTGTGTATTTGTGGCCAGTGGTGTGAGTATTAGTGGCCAGTGGTGTGTGTATTTGTGGCCAGTGGTGTGTGTATTTGTGGCCAGTGGTGTGAGTATTAGTGGCCAGTGGTGTGTGTGTATTAGTGGCCAGTGGTGTGTGTATTATTGGCCAGTGGTGTGTGTATTATTGGCCAGTGGTGTGTGTATTAGTGACCAGTGATGTGTGTATTAGTCACCAGTAGTGTGTATTAGTGGCCAGTGGTGTGTATTAGTCACCAGTAGTGTGTTTTAGTGGCCAGTGGTGTGTATTAGTCACTAGTGGTGTGTATTAGTGGCCAGTGGTGTGTATTAGTGGCCAGTGGTGTGTATTAGTCACTAGTGGTGTGTATTAGTGGCCAGTGGTGTGTATTAGTGGCCATTGGTGTGTGTATTAGTGGCCAGTGGTGTGTGTATTAGTGGCCAGTGGTGTGTATTAGTGGCCAGTAGTGTGTGTATTAGTGGCCAGTGGTGTGTGTATTAGTGGCCAGTTGTGTGTATTAGTCACTAGTGGTGTGTATTAGTGGCCAGTGGTGTGTATTAGTGGCCATTGGTGTGTGTATTAGTGGCCAGTGGTGTGTATTAGTGGCCAGCGGTGTGTATTAGTGGCCAGTGGTGTGTGTATTAGTGGCCAGTGGTGTGTGTATTAGTGGCCAGTGGTGT